AATTTACCTCCACGAGATGTTGGGTCTTGCAAAGGGAGGATTAGCAGAAAGGGAAGATCCAGGTCAGAATTTTGGACTGTGCCATCCTAGGTCTTTTATAAACCTTGTGCGGGCATGTGTGCCAAGATGCTTCCGTCGTGTTCGGACTCTTTGCAGCCCCACAGAAGTGTAGCCCGCCAGGCTCCTCTGTCCATGGGATTTCCCAGGCAAGGATACTGGAGTGAATTGCCGTGCCTTTCTCCAGGGAATCATCCTGAACCAGGGATTGAACCCCCATCTCCTGCGGCTCCTGCACTGCAGGGAGATTCTTTCCCACTGAGCCGCTGGGGAAGCCCTTTATAAACATCAGTAACAGCCAAGCCTGAATGAAGCTTATAGGTGTATATGGGCCCTGCCTGAAACAGGGTGCTGCTCCGGTCGTCTTATTAGCCTCAGTTTACAGAGGAAAGGTTGAGGCCCAGAGCCGTGAGGTGACTTACCCAAGGTCACACAGCTAGTAAAGGCTGAACCGGGATTTGAACCCAGGTTAGGTCTGATTCCAGAGGCCGAACTCTTCTTCGCTCTGAGGGGCTGCCTCACTGTTACTGCAAGTGGGCACTGTTGTCAGGAGCCTGTGCTGGGAGGGGCTTGCAGATCCCAGAAGTGTGCCCTGTGATGCCGGGTAGAACAACATGGACCCGTAGTAACATCAGGCCAGTTCCCGGCTCTGTGCTTCTACTTGCTCACCTGAGAAATGGTGTCTGGCGCAGGTGCTGTCCTTGTTCCTGGGTTGCTGGGACCTTCCCATGCAGCATTTGGGTTGGCACGTGTCCAGGGAGCACCCCTTTGGGCTCTGGAGGTCCAAACATAAACATAATTTGGATGGGCCCTGCACTAGGAACACCAGGGGCAGAGTACCCCAGGGCCAGGGAGAGGGTGGTCCACAAACTACTGCCCATCCACAAGTTTCCTGTTACTGGCCTGTAGCACACTACATGCAGACCTTAGAGTGAGTGCTGAGAAACTCATATCGCAACTTGACACTGCTGCATCATTTTTTAATTGTAATTTACAAAAGCATCAGTTGGCAACAGACTGGAAAACTTAAAAAAAAAAAAAAGATTCTTTACCATAAATAGCTTGAGCAGCTCTGGCCCAGATCCTAACTGTGATTGAAGGTAGGAAGTGCCCGGCTGTTCAGAGGCAAGGTGGGGAAGGGAGCAAGTATTCTGCCTTGGTGGCGGGGGGAGGGAGAGGAGGGGCTAGGCTTCCCAGAAGTGCTGTTGAGCTGGCCCTTGAAGGAGGAGTAGGAGTTTGCCAGGTGGGGGAAGAGGGAAGGACGTTGTTGGTGCCGGGAACAGTATGTGCAAAGGCAGGCGACGGGAGGATCTGAGGGTTCAGGGCATGGCAGGTGATCAGAGCGTTTGGAGAAGAGCTGGTGGACGGGCCCTGGAGAAGCAGGTCAGAGCCAGCCCAGGAAAGCCTTGAATGCTCGGCTAAGAAGTTGAGACCTCAAGCCTGGCCTGGGGTCAGAGGTCGTGAGGCGGGGGATAAGATCGCGGCTGCGTGGGCGCTTTAAGGACAGAAGGGGCCCTCTGTGCGGGGGTTCCCTTTGGTCTTCGGCCCTGGGGGAGGCTGCCTCATGGCCCCCAGTTGGGTGAGGGGCTGGAAAGCAGACTCGAGAGTCTGGCCGGTGTCTGGTTGCTCCGGGAGTCAGTCTGGGCTGGACAGGCAGGCCGTTCTCCGGTGTGAGGGGTGGGCCTTCCCAGGCCGTCCTGGTCAGTGGGTGGGCATGTGGTGTGGTTGGATGGCTGTGGCAGAACCCTTTTGTGCCCCCTCTGCCCTAAGCTGCCAGTGCTGCGAGCTCATGGGGTGTGTCGGCCGCCTGTAGGAGTCCAGGGCCGTGTTTGGGAGGGGGAAGGCCTGAGGCCCGGGGCTGAGTTTGGGGGCTTGGCCAGGCCCCTGGAGCCTGGTACGTGAGGAGCCTGGGGTTCGCTTAAGAGGTGAGCCGTGGACTACAGCCTGAAGCTGCTTCCTGCATGAGCCCTCTCTGATGGGCCAGAGCTGAGCTGAGGCCTGCTTTTGAGGCCTGAGTGCTGGACGTTTGATGGAGGTGGCGAAGCAGGGTGGATGTCCCCACAAGGCCAGCTCCTGGGAGCAGACGGCACATTGGCGGGGCGGCAGAGTTCCTGCTGTGGCCGAGCCTCCTGTCCCGAGAGGCGGTAACTGCCCTGTCCCGGGGCCCCTGGGAACAGACCATGGCCCTCCTGGGCCTGCGTGTGGCCACAGGTCCTCCCCACCAGGGAGCTGCAGGGAGGACCGCCCCTGCCCGCCCCACCTGCACTCTCCTCCTCGGGGCCCCGTGCGGGGTGGCGCAGGCTCCGGCTCCCTCCCTGCAGCCCCCTGTTGGCGCCAGGGCCCCACTCAGAGGCCTGTCTGGCTGCCATTCAGCAGGGAGTCCAGCAGGCCTTGGCAGGAGTCACTGGGGTGCTTTGGTCTAGACCGTGGCCTTGCTGGTGCTGGAAGGGGCTTCCTTGGTGGCTCAGATGCTAAAAGCATCTGCCTACAGTGGGGGAGACCAGAGTTCGATCCCTGGGTTGGGAAGATCCCCTGGAGAAGGAAATGGCAGCCCACTCCAGTACTCTTGCCTGGAAAAATCCCATGGACAGAGGAACCTGTTGGGCTACAGTCCATGGGGTCGCAAAGAGTCGGAGACGACTGAGCGACTTCACTTTCACTCTGGTGGTGCTTGGAGGCTTGCCTCTCCCGAGGCAGGAGAGGGCGGCTCTGGGGCAGCTGGACTCCCCGGCTCCCGCCCTCCAGGCTTCGTCCTGCTGCCCCGGCCTCTCCCAGAGCTGGCGCTTCTCACTGTGAGCAGTGGGTGGCACCGTCTAGCTTCTTGGCTGCCCCTCTCCTCAGAGACGCCCCTCTGAGCCTGTTCTTCATGGGCTGTGTGGCCTTCCTTCCCAGGTGCGGTCCTCCAAGGCCGGCCCTCTGCTCTAGCCTCCTCTGGCAGGGACTGAGCCTTGCTGTTTCTCCCTCCAGCCTTCCTGTAGCTCTGTCATCGCCCCTGCTCCGGCTCCCTGGGCCGGTGAGGCCAGGACTTGCTGGCCCGCCTCCCAGGGCCCCCTGCCCCACCTTCAGGTACAAACCAAACTCCCCCTGGCACTTCTCGGCGGCTCCCTGCCCGCCCCCCGAGCACCCTGGCCCTCGGTCAAGGAGAGTGGCCCAGAAAGGCTCCTTCGCCCTTTCGGATGGACTTGCGCCTGTCTTGCAGCAAGCGTGACTGCTTTTGGCCCTCAGGTGTGGCCACCTCCTTTTCTCATCCATGGTACTGATGAGGCCTTGTGTTTTCTGGGGAGTCTGTGTGGTTTACAAAGGAGCTACATGGATGACGTCTCACTTCATCTTCACGGTAGGCTTGGGAGGTGGATACTGTGAGCCCATCTTGTGGATGAGGGGGTTGAGGCTCCATAGGGTTCAGTGACTGTGTTACAGTCTTTCAGGAAGTCAGGGGCAGAGCTGGAACTTGGACTCATACCTCTCAGCTCTTTCCTTTTTAAAATATGTGTTTATTTACTTGGCAGTGCCAGGTCGTGGCTGTGGCATGTGGGATCTTTAGTTGTGGCATGTGGGACCTAGTTCCCTGACCTTGGATGGAACCCTGGGTCCCCTGCCTTAGAGGCATGGCATCTTAGCCATTGGACCACCAGGGGAGTCAATCCTGGCTCTTTTCTTGGTCCTGTAGCTGTCCTGAAGGTCAGAGCACCATTGATCTTGGCTTGTTGTAGTGTCAGGAGCTGGGTGCCTGACCAGGACTAGGGCTCTGGCCCGGGCTGGGGCTCAAGCTGTTGGATACGGTGGGGCTCTTCGTGTGGCCTGGGCTCCTGTCTGGGCTCAGTTCACAGTGAGGTGCGTTCAGCCTTGTAAGGGTTGTGCATCCACTTTCTCCTTCCTTCCTGAATTCCTGCTCCCAGTGTGGGGTCTTCCCAAAGACACAGCCCCAACCCTGGGAGTCTAGGCCTGATGCCAGACATGCTGGCCGGGGGCTGGGGTTGTTGGGACAGAGGGGCCAGGACTGGGCATTACGGGGGCAGGGGAGGGGCGAGAGCTGGGTGGCAGGAGGTGCACTCGGAAGCTGGCCTGTGGGCCTCTGACACAGCGGTGTCGCTGTGAGGGTCCACAGCTCCCGGCCTCTCCCTCCTCCAGGGCCTGAGATTCTGTGCTTCCTTAAAACCATTCACAATGCAGGGACAGTAAGCGTTTTTCTCTGACCCCCCTGATGAGGCTGTGAGGTTCAGAAGGGCTGGAGCCCTCCATCCTTGCGGTAAATCCTTCCACCCCTATGCGTGGGCTGTACACATCCAGGGACCAGTAGCTCACTGTTCCCAAGACATCTCCTTGTATTTTTATTACCTTGTTTTACTAAGTTCAGTTATATAAAGGATATGGAGATACATATTTACTATAAAAAATCAAGTATTATTTAAAAAGTAAAACATGATTTTCCTTGATAACCATAGCATTCCGGCCTCCTCCTCCACAGGGCTTATCATCACTGTTATTACTTTGGTATATATCCTTCTAGATCTTTATCTGTACATTGCACACAGAACCTATAGGATATGTACCATTATAGCATGTGTGTGTGTGTGTAATGCTTATGTACATTTCAATAAGTGGTTTCATCTGCAAATTGCTTTTCTCACTTAACTTTGGATCTAGGAAATCTAGTCATAGTTTTATATAGTGAGCTTACCGTAATTTTTTTCTTTTCTTATCTTTTTTTTTTAAACTGATACACAATAGTGTATCATTGTAAATCAATGAGTAGTTAATTGTTGGAAAAGACCCTGATGCTGGGACAGATTGAAGGCAGGAGGAGAAGGAGATGACAAAGGATGAGATGGTTGGATGGCATCACCGACTCGATGGACATGAATTTGGGTAGGCCCTGGGAGTTGGTGATGGACAGGGAGCCCTGGCATGCTGCAGTCCATGGGGTCGCAAAGACACGACTGAGTGACTGAGCTGAACTGAACACAGTAGTGGAGAGAATTATCATTTATCTAGCCATTCTCTTACTGCTGTACATTTAGCTTAATTCTGATTTTATTCTTATGCTGCTGCTGGGTTATGGGAGCCAGTTGCATTTTTTGCACACACAAAAAATTGCTGTGCAGTATTTAAAATCTGTCCACTGGGGCTTTGCACGGAACCAAATGTCTCCCTGAGGATCTCCAGCTATTCCTGCATCTCTTCTTTAGCCAGAGAGAAAATCTTCTCCCTTGCCCCCTGCCAGTCCCCAGAGAGCTGGAAACAACAGCCATGGCCCCTGGAGTCTTTTCTCTTTCACACTTGGGTTTTTCTACCCTTACTCAAAAGGTGTGTTTTTCAATGCCTCCTCCTGTCTCTGGTGGCTGTTGTGATAAGTAAACTTTGGAATCCAGAGGCCTTGGTTCAGATCCTGGTGTTTCTGGGAAATTGACTTAGCCTCTCTGTGCCTAGTTTCATCCTTTGTAAAACAGAGATAACAGTGGCATGTGTAGCACTTCCATGAGGACCAAGTAAACCAACATGTGCAATGTGCACGATGCTGGTAACAATCCCAAGAATGTTATCATCCTGGGGTCTCTTGTCTGCGTTAGCTCCAGACCCACCTCTGAGGGCAGAAGGCCTATGTTCCCTGTGGGCTGCCTGGGATGGCTCCAGCCTTTGCGACAGCTTCAGCCCACTGTCCACTGATTTCCCAGAGGAGGCTGCTGCCTGGGAAGGCAGCAGACGATCAGATTTCTGCTGCGCTCGGCCCTGTCGGTTCTGGATCGAGGCCCACGGGGAGGGAAGGAGGTCAGCCTGACCCTCTGCTTGGTGATGGTGGCCAGGAACCTGGTAATGTAACCCCATACCTCGGGCAGATTTACCAACTCTCAATGGGGCCTGTTGTGGCCAGGGATTTGATCTCTCTTGGCCTGCAGGGTGAGCAGGAGAAGAAAGCCGCTCGGGGCCAAGCTCTCCCTTGAGAGCCCTGGGGCCCCTCTGTACCACACTGGCTGGTCCAGGCCTGGGTTTACCTTTCAGCCCCTGGGGTAAATCTCTGCAGCTCATCATCTAGTTAGTGCTGGAAAGGATGGCCCCTTTGTTCTTTTTCTCACACCTCCTTCCCTCTTCCCTCCTTTTAGGTTCAAAACCACCTTTATGCCACCATCTAAACAGCTCTGCACAACCACCTTCTGAAGTAGGCAACCTGGTCAAGGCCATTTTGCAGATGTGCAAACAGAGGCCCAGAGATGTCAAGTGACTTTCCCAAGGCCGCACAGTTAGGCGCTGGCCGGGTTAAAGGAATATACCCGGGCCAACTGGCTCCTTGTTCAGTTTTTTTTCATGAGGCCACCCTGTGTGATAGTTTTGGCAGAAGGTGCCCAGTGGGGCAGCCCTGCCTGTCCTCTTGCCCTCTGGTCCATGGCAAGTGTGGTCAGTGAGCACAGAGGGTTGGAAGGCGAAGCACCAGCGCTGGCCCGGGGCCTGGCCTTTACCCAGCACCAGCCACAAACGCTCTCAGCAACCAGAGATGGCAGGACAGAAAGTGGCTGCTTCAGCTGAGGCCACGTGCCCCTGCGGGGGGGGGAGAGCTTTCTCTTTGGGCCTGCCCTGTGGTGTGGGCAGGGGTCTGCAGCCTCCCTGGGCAGCCTGGGTGCTTCTCCGGGGAGGTGGGAGAGCAGCCATCATGCGGCGCATTTTAAGACTGGAGGAAGGGAAGCTCCGAAAGGCGCAGGGGGCTGGTCTGAGCTGGCGGCTGGCAGACGGGAAACTTGAACCCACTCCCTGATTCTCCCCGTAGACCTTCACCAGTCACGCTGCCGGTCACACCAAGGACAGTGAGTGGCCCAGCTTTGAGTTAAGAGCACAGTTGAGTGTCAGAAGAGGAATATGGGCTGGGTCCTGTTCATGTGTATCGAGGACTTTCTGTGCGCCAGGTGCTATGCTGTCTTGACTCATAATATCTCACTGAATCCTCGGAATAATCTCAGGAGGCAGACACCAGTATTATCTCCATGTAGTGGGCAAACAGGCACAAAGAAGTGACTTCCCGTGGTCACATGGCGGGTGGGGGCGAAGCTGAGACTGGAATCCCAGCAGAGTGGCTCAGAGTTGCCCGTTGTATCACGACAAGGCCTCTCACAGCCGGAAGAGCGACACCCGCCTGTCTTCTCCTGGTACCTGGCCATGGAGGGCCTCGGTATGCATTTGTTGGGAATAATTGTGTGACTGGATGTGAGGCTTTGGACAAGTGACTTTGCCCCTCTAAGTGGCAGTAAAGTAAGAGGCAGCCACCTTTTCTCCAGTGTCGATGGGCAGAGTACTGCGTGGTGATGTTTCAAAGAGCTGAGGTCAGGGCTGGCCCACGGCAGCTGTGGTCCCTCTGGCAGACGGTGCCTCCAAGTGGCTCTGAACCATCCTGGGAGTCAGGGTGTGGCTCTGAGCTGTCTCACTTGGGGGGTGGGGGTCGGAGGCAAGTTCTATCTGCATGGGTAGCTGTGGGGTGTCACCCGTGGCTGGTGTTGGGCTTCCTCTGGGCAAAGCCGGGGGCCAGAGGGGTGGAGGGTGAGCCCTGTGAGCGGGTGCGTGCAGACCCCTGCATTCCTGTGGGTCGCTCACAGCCAGCCGGGTAGCTCCTTCCCTCATTTTTCTTGTCATTTCCCCGTGCCTGTCTTTCATCCAGGCTCCGGGAGGCGAGGTGACTCACCCAGGTTCCCACAGGTGTGGAGCATGATTCCAGGCCTCACCCACCGCCTTCTGAGGGCCCTCTCCAGCTCCTCACTGTGGGTTTCAAAAGTGGGGCAGGTGCCTGGGGCAGAGCCAGATCGGGGGCCCCTGGAGGTCTGCGTGGCAGGACCCCCATTCAGGTGTGCTCCCCGAGTGGACAGCTCTGACAGTAGGCGCTCTGCAGGGGGACTCAGGAGACACCAGGATCCATCCCAGGATCTGCCGCAGATCTGCTGTGTGGCCTTGAGTAAGTTCCTACCCCTCTCTGGGCCTGGGCGTACAGCCCTGTGAAGTGGGAGCATAGGGCTCACTGCTGTTCTGCCCTTCCCTTCCAGGGGTGTGATTTATGCCGTAGGGCCCAGACTGGCATTGTCTCAACCCCTTTTGAAGACACTAGGCTACCGGGGACTCTCAGCCTTGCCAGTTGGGGGACAACTGGACTCGGAATCGAGGACCAGGTTCTGGTCCCAAACAGTCCTGGGACGGTGAGAAGCACATGGCAGGGCGAGGTGGGGCTCGCCAGGGAACTCCACCACTGCACTCCCCCGGGTGGGCCCTGGGAAGCTGGGGTTTGGCAGACAGTACCCCCACATGGGAGGCAAGCAGTGATTCTGGAGGCTGCAAGATCTGGGTTTGAATACGAGCTTTCCCACTCACCTCTGGCCACCCACCTGGCCTTTCTGAGCCTCAGTTTCCTCACTGGTGAAACAGGAGGTGACGTGGTCCCCCTAAGTTGAGGTAAGGATGAAAGGCAGGCATGTCTCCCCATGTTGGGCTTCCTCTGGGCAAAGCCGGGGGCCAGAGGGGTGGAGGGTGAGCCCTGTGAGCGGGTGCGTGCAGACCCCTGCATTCCTGTGGGTCGCTCACAGCCGGCCGGGTAGCTCCTTCCCTCATTTTTCTTGTCATTTCCCCGTGCCTGTCTTTCATCCAGGCTCCGGGAGGCGAGGTGACTCACCCAGGTTCCCACAGGTGTGGAGCATGATTCCAGGCCTCACCCACCGCCTTCTGAGGGCCCTCTCCAGCTCCTCACTGTGGGTTTCAAAAGTGGGGCAGGTGCCTGGGGCAGAGCCAGATCGGGGGCCCCTGGAGGTCTCCTGCGTGGCAGGACCCCCATTCAGGTGTGCTCCCCGAGTGGACAGCTCTGACAGTAGGCGCTCTGCAGGGGGACTCAGGAGACACCAGGATCCATCCCAGGATCTGCCGCAGATCTGCTGTGTGGCCTTGAGTAAGTTCCTACCCCTCTCTGGGCCTGGGCGTACAGCCCTGTGAAGTGGGAGCATAGGGCTCACTGCTGTTCTGCCCTTCCCTTCCAGGGGTGTGATTTATGCCGTAGGGCCCAGACTGGCATTGTCTCAACCCCTTTTGAAGACACTAGGCTACCTGGGACTCTCAGCCTTGCCAGTTGGGGGACAACTGGACTCGGAATCGAGGACCAGGTTCTGGTCCCAAACAGTCCTGGGATGGTGAGAAGCACATGGCAGGGCGAGGTGGGGCTCGCCAGGGAACTCCACCACTGCACTCCCCCGGGTGGGCCCTGGGAAGCTGGGGTTCGGCAGACAGTACCCCCACATGGGAGGCAAGCACTGATTCTGGAGGCTGCAAGATCTGGGTTTGAATACGAGCTTTCCCACTCACCTCTGGCCACCCACCTGGCCTTTCTGAGCCTCAGTTTCCTCACTGGTGAAACAGGAGGTGACGTGGTCCCCCTAAGTTGAGGTAAGGATGAAAGGCAGGCATGTCTCCCCAGCCACCCGCTGACAGTTAGCTAGTTCCCCAGTGGCATGTGCGGATCTGTTGAAGGGTTGGAAAATTGGGGGTGGGGGGGAATCAGAGAAAGTTCCGGAATCCTCTGGAGGCTGAGTCCAGAAATAGAAGACCCCAGAGGCAGAGACTGCTGATGGCCAGACCAGCCTCCGCCAGCCCCCAGGAGGCCACAGTGAGCTGGCAGCAGGGGCCTCCCCTCCCTCCCGGGGCTGCTGGCTGCATAAATTACTCGGCAGCCTCTGGGCTAATTTTACCTTCTTGGTTTTCATGAATCATTTCCCATCCGGGGGCGTGTGCGAGGGAATGGAAACGGCCCTGCCAGCTGGGTGCCCGGGCGCCAGCCGCGGTGAGGCGCCTGTGTGGAGCCCTGCCCGCGAGCTCAGAGGCAAGGCCCGGACACCCTGGGATCCCCCGAAGGGCCCCCCAGGCCCGCTCTTTCCAGCTGTGTCCGCTGTGTCCCTGTGCCTTTAGGTTGTGATTTTGCAGGTCGTGGGGCTGGAACTTGGGCTGAATCGAAATGAATCTGGAATCCCATGATTCTACCGTGATGGACGTTTGGGTTTATTTTGACCCCTAGTGGTGGAGTGGTTCAGCAGAGAGACCCCTGTGACCTGCTGGGGGTGCTTCTTTGTGGCCCAGTTCTGGGAATTTGCAGGAATGCTGAAATTTCATAGTCACAGAATATGAGAGGTGGTTGGCTCTGGCTGAAAGTCCAACCTAACCACCTTGGGTAAACTGAGGCTCAGAGAGAAGAAGGGATTTAGCTCAAGTCAGTGACTCATGGAAGTCAGGCTAATGGTTATTTACTGATTGCTCACCATTTTGCTCACAACACCCCTCTTTGACTATTATTATCCCCATTTTGTGCAGGAGTAACTGGAGGCCCAGAAGGTGAAACAAATTCCCCAGATGACACAGCTGTGTGTGGTGGAGCCATAGTTTGTGGAGCCCGAGTTGTTCCCGACTTCCACACCAAGCTGCCTCTTAGTGTGTGTTTATAAGCTCACTGTGAGTGGTCCTGGGAGCCCCCAGCTCACTCTCTTCTTCCCTTCACCAGATGTGTATCGAGCCCCTGCTGAGAGCTGTTCTGGGCCATTCTTGGGTGCAGCCAGGGTGGACAGAGGCTGGGGCACCGGTGAGGCCCCTCCCCAGCACCCCCATCTCACCCGAGGCTGAGTTCCCAGAGGACAGCGTTCACACAGCACTTTGGTCTCTGAGTGAGGCCACACACTCAGCGGCCCGGTCCAGGCAGGAGGGACACGGGTCGGCCGGAGATGTAGAAAGTAAGTGCCCCGCCCATTTGGCCACCACCACCCAGCCCTGGCAAATTGTTGCCACGTGGGACCCCTTGCCTGGCATTGCAAACACTGCTGATTTTCCAGAGAAGCTGAACATCCATGTTTTCACACGAAATCTTCTGTTTCTTTAGAGTTGGTAACCAAAGCAAAAATAAAAATTGGAAAAACGTCAGCTACCCGTTTGTAAGCTGTGGATCCATACTTCTGCTGCCTTTCTCTAAGCCTGTGTCTGGTTAGGATGAGTTCTTGTTCTAATCCTTCCTCAGGGGCCACGTCTCCGAGGAGGTCCCTTCACTCCCTGCCATGGAAGACCCTACCCCACCTACAATTGCAGTTTATCACCCTCAACACTAGACTGCCACCCTGGAGTAGTGGAAAGGGGCATGGGCTTTGACCTGGAGAGTCTCTAGATAGTTGCTTTGCATCCTTGTTCAAGCTACTTAACCTCTCTGAGCCTCCATTTTTTTAAAATTTGAAAAACAGGTACAGCAAAATTGAACTCAGAAGATTGTTGAAAGGACTAAATACAATCAGACAGAAACCCCAGTTAAGCAGAATTAGGCAAAAGTGGAATTTATGGGCCCAGCAAAGTAAGAGGTTCATGAGTGTCCACAGCTTCAGGCACAGTTGGATCCAGGGCTCACACAGCGTCATCAGGACTCAGACTGTCTGTCCGACTCTGCTTTCCTCTGTGCTGGCTCCACTCATAGGCAGACTGCTGGACTTGGTGGCACAGTGGCTGGCTGCCAGCTAGCCCCAGAATCCTGTCTGGTGCAACTTGACATACAGTCGTTATAATAATTAGTCATCACAGCACCTTGCCTTCACAAGTGTGCTCTGAAATCAGCTCATTATTTACCTCTTTACTGCCTGTGTCCAGATCATGTATGCTTTTTACCATGTCAAGCTTGAGCTGCTGCTAGAGCTTCAGTTTCCTCAAGGGTAAGACAGGGATAGAATCCATCCTGCAGGGTTTGCGGAGAGGATTAAGTGAGATAAGAAAAAGGTGGAGCTCCTGGCCCAAGTCCTGGCACAACGGAGGTGCTCAGGAAGAGCCAGGTTCCCTTTGAATCCCCTCAAATCCAGGTCGTAGCGTATGAATACGCCCACATGTGTAAGTCTTTTCATGGGAATGTGGGAAGATTGTTAATTCTTCATAAATGGCCACGAATGGTGCACACATACACATAGGACACACTTATGCACATATAACTTAGGAAAGAACCCTAATCTCTTGGCGTAGAGGCTACATGTGGCCAAGACTCTGTGGATCAGCAGGACAGTTGATTACTCCCAGCACAAGAAACAGCGAGCTCATCAGCACGGTAGCACCCGTTACTCTGCCCCCGGGTCCCATGGGGCGATATGGTGGACCCAGATGGGGACTGTAGGTTACACTGCACTGGAAAAACTCAGGGCTGAGGACCTGGCACCTTTTGTGGCCAGCAGTAATCAAGTTGGCTCCCCTTCTCTGGGGAGCAAGGAGGTGTATGGTATTTGTGCTGTGTTGCCATGACTGACTTAGTTACCTGTGTGACTACATGTGTGATTATGGAAATGGCTTAGGGTGGGAGGGTGGTGCAGGCTTACAGTATGACAAGCTCAGCAGGGGATGCTCAAGGCCCATGGTGGACCGCCCCTTCCATCACACACACACACACACACACACACACACACACACACATGTGCGCGCCTTACTTGTGCCAGGATGGAAGGGTGGCCTGGCTACCTGGTTCCCTGTTAGAGGTATTCGTGCGTGCTCAGTGATGGCATACACTGGCTGCCAGCCTCTGGCCGTGTAGACTAGTGCTTCTCAGACTCTCCTGTGCATACAGGTCACTTGGGGAGGCTCCTGTTTTAAAGCAGACTCTGATTTGGGAGGTCTGGGGGTGGAGCCCCGGGCTCCGCATTTCGAACCAACGCCAGGTAATGAATGGCCCTACTGCCCATCTGCGGACCACACCTGGAGAAGGAGGGATTTAGGTGACCTGTGAGGTTTCTCTCAATTCTGAAATTCCAGGCAGAATTGGGTAAATAAACTGGGTAAGTAAACCGCCAGTGAGAATGGCAGGGCGAGATGGAATAGGGAAGGGAGGAGGGAGCCTGAGGGGACGGCAGGAGAAGTAAAGGCTGCGGTCAGGCCCCCGGGGCCGCCGATGGCCTGCAGCCCCCTCCCTCCACAGGTGTTTCCCTCCCGGTCTCGCGGTGCAGACCGTGGCACCCCTTTCCTTGTGGCCAAGGCGCCGCATGGTGTTTCATCAGGGTCCTCCCTGCTGGCGTAGAGGCTTCCGCTCTGGGGTCAGTGGGAAGCGTGTCGAGGAGAGGATGCCAAGGACGCCACGGTGGAGAGGGGCAGGGAGAGCAGGACGGGAGGAGGGGCTGCCCGCGCAGGCTGGTGGTGGCGGGTGTGCCTCTCCCAGAGTCTTCCTCTGGGAGATCTTGACAAAGTCACTGCCTCTGGGCCTCCACTTCCTTGTCTAGAAAGGAGGGGCTTTGGGCCCGGTTTCCCTAGTGGCTCAGGTGGTCAAGAATCTGCCTGCAGTGCAGGAGACCTGTTCGATCCCTGAGTCAGGAAGATCCCCTGGAGAAGCGAATGGCTACCCACTCCAGTATTCTGGCCTGGAGAATTCCATGGACAGAGGAGCCTGGCGGGCTCCAATTCATGGGATCCAGAAGAGTTGAACAGG